ATTGGAATGAAAACTGACATTTTCCAGTCCTGTGGCCACTGCTGACTTTTCCATATTTGCTGACATATTGAGTGCAGCACTTTTACAACATCATCTTTTAGAATTTTAAGTAGCTCAACTGGAATTCCATCACCTCCACTAGCTTTGTTCATAGTGATGCTTCCCAAGGCCCACTTGACTTCACATTCCAGGATGTGTGGCTCTAGGTGAGTGATCACACCATTATGGTTATCTGGATCATGAAGATCTTTTTTGTATAGTTCTTCTGTGTATTCCTGGCATCTCTTCTTAATATCTAATGCTTCTTTTAGGTCCATACCATTTGTGTCCTTTATTGTGTCCATCTTTGCATGAAATGTTCCCTTGGTATCTCAGATTTTCTTGAAGAGATCTCTAGACTTTCCCATTCTGTTGTTTTCCTCTATTTGTTTGCTTTGTTTACTTAGGAAGGCTTTCTTATCTGTCCTTGCTGTTCTTTGAAACTGTGCATAAAAAATACATGTTTTCATACATACTACTTTAAAAATATAATAGATCCCATAATACAGTGGTAAAATTTTTACTTTGCAGTTGTGTATTTTTAAAGAAACTAAGGAAACCAAAGAAAAAAAGTGTAGTTGTTAGTGTTTACTCATATAGTTACCATTTCTGGTGGTGGTCTTTTTTTCTTAAACTAGGAAATTTTAATATTCCTTCAGTGCAGATCCATTGGCAACACATACAGTTTTGTTGAAATGAAAATGTCTTTATTTCACCTTTTTTTAAAAAAAGCTTTAATTTTAGAATAGTCTTGGACTCAGAAAAACCTGAAAAAAATATTATTAGTGTACTCTTCAGCAGTTTCTCCCAGTGATAACATCTTATATAACCATAGTACATTATCAAAGCCAGGAGGTGGCACTGGCATAGTTCTGTTAATTAAATCAGAGAACTTTTCTCACCTTCGTTGCTGAAGGATTGTTTCACTGGCTGCGTTGGAGGAGGTTATTGAGAGGATGTGACCACTGGTTGACCCATAAACTGGACGCAGGCGGTTGGAGGCCTTTATCTCTCCCCTGTCCTTGGAATGTACATCATGCCTACTCTTCCCATACTGTAGCGTTTTCAAGGATGAAGCCTTGAGAGAATAGGGTGTTGAGATCGTCTGGAGTGAAAATGTGACTGAAACCATAAGGGCTCTGTATAAACATTTAAAGTTCTGAGAGGCAGGTGCAGAGATCTGTTTTTTAGTGGGGTTGCCCAAGACAAAAAACCTTTTATGTAAATTCCCTTGCTTATTAAACCTGCCACCTGCCAATCTGGACTGGTCTGCCTCTTTCTTTGGTCTTTCCTTCTCCTCCATGTATGGGAGCCAGTTTCAGATTACACCCAGGAAACTCCTGAGGTTTCAGACAAACACATGGAACTCTGGATTGACAGTTCTAGACTTCAATGACAGCTCTTTAAAGATCTTTCATCACTTTCTGGCCACCATTGTTTCCAATTGGAAGTCAGTTTGTTTCATTGTCCCACTCCCTCCAACCTCAACATACACACACTATAATATATTGGTTTTCTCTGGCAGCTTTCACAATTTTCTTGTGGTCTTTGGTTTTCAGCAGTTTGATTGTGATGTACCTACGTATGGTTTTTCTTTGTGTTGATCCTTTTTTGAGTTTGTTGAGTTTTTTGATTTATGAGTCCATGTTTTTCACATTTGGCTACTTTTTTGCCCAGTTATTATTTTTTTAAACCCACTTTCCCTTCTTCATCTGTACTGTTTCCACTATTTGATATTGTGCCACAGTTTTCTGAAGTCCTGTTCATTTTTCTATCATGATTTTCCTCTCTGTTCTTAAGATGAAATAATTTCTATTGATCTCATTTCAAGTTGATTGACTCATCTGCCATCTTTAGCTTATTAGACTCATACACTGAATTTTTTGTTTCAGCTAGTTTATTATATTTTTCAACTCTAGAATTCCCATTTGACGTATTTCTCTGCTGAGATTTCCTACCTATTCATTCGTTGTGAATCAATTTATTTTCCCTTGAAAATATTTATAATTTGTGCTTTGAAGTCCTGTCTGCTAATTGCAACATTTGGGTTATCTCAGCATTGGTTTCTATTCATAGTTTTTCTTGAGTGTGATCACATTTTACTGTTTCTTTACATATCTGGTCATTTTAAAATGTTATGCTGGCCATTATGAATGATATGTTGTGGAGGCTTTGAATTCTAATAATTCCTTTGAGGTGTGTTGATTTTTATTCCAGTAGACAGTTAACTTGACTGTATTTGAACTCCAAACACTTGTCTCCTTCATAGTGGGCAGCAACTGAGTTCCTGCTCAGTTCTTTTAGTTTCCAGCTGCTGCTTTTTCAGTGGCCCATTGGGGTTCCCCCTGCACAAGCACAGGTTAACCGTTCGCCAGAAATTTGGGTGCAGTTTGTATATAGATTGGGGGTTCGTCCCTTTTGAAGCTTCCTCCTGTTCAGGGTTTTGTTCCTGACTTTTCTGGCTGCTCTGCCCACTTTGCTCTCATACCTAAAGCCAGTAAGCCTGTGGCCTGCCTCCATGAGCTGTGCAGTTTGGGAAGTGCCCTCCAGCAAAAAGCTTCACAAATCTCTTCCCACAGTGGACTCCCACTCAAGTTCTGCCTGCTTTTGGTCACTCATGCCTTCAAGTACTTCACATACTGTATCTTCATATTTTGTCCCGATTTTATAATTGTTCCCTGAGAGCAGGTTAGTCTGCTTGAGTTCCCTGCCGTGATTGGAATCTACGGTGCTGCTGTATGTGGGCCTAAGGCATTATCTTCTGTCCCTCAAGCTGCCATCTAAATCCAGAGCTCTAGTTCCTGATACTGGTAGGTCTTGTCAGGTTGGATGTGGCTTCAGGCTTGTTTCCTGCTTTGGTTTGCAGGATATTGTATGTCAGCTCTTTGGTAGCAGGAGGATTTTTCAGAATACTCATTTGCTGTGTAGCCAGAAGTAGATCTTTTTATAGCCACAACCCTAAAGAAATTCCCTGCTATACCGAGTTCTTTTTTTTCTCTATTTTTTTTTTCAAATTTCTGGACCCAAAACTTAGAACTCTCCTTGACTTGGTTTTTTACTGGTATAATTTGTCTCCGTCTCTCCCTGTAGTTTTCCTACACTTTTCATATTTTCTCCTAGAGTTTTCCTTTTTAGTTTTCTTTCTCACCCTTGCTTTATTTCTGATTATTAATTCTTTCGTTGCCTTTTCTACTCTTGTCTGTTTTTGCCAGGTGAATATTTCTAGAACAGATCTATAGTATGTTGTAGTTAGAAAAACCCATAAGGTCAGTTAATCTAACTTAACATTATTTAAAGAGAAACTGAGCCCCTGCTAAATTTCACAACTTACTTAAGAGTTTTTCAGCTCACTTGAAAAAGCTGGACTTAGACCTGGGATTTAGTCTTAAGCTCTTTCCACTGTAAGTTCTTTTGCAGTTTGCTTTTTTGATTCTATTTAGGGTTATGTTTGTTATTCATAGGACATTTGTATGATCATATTATTGTTGATTCTCTTAAGTAGTTTATTCCTCAGGCAAGAAGCAGTGGTTTCCATGGGCTCTAGAACACCATGCATGCTTCTAAGGTTGGAGATGATGCCATTCTTAATAAGCTTCCCTTCTTACTGAGCCTTTCATTACTCACCCAACTCATCCCTTAGGTAAGGCCTGAAGAAAGGGGGAACCTGTCATCCCCATCAGTTCAGTAACACTCAGTGCACGTTATAACATGAGCAGCAGGGGCCAGGGTCTCACAATTAGTAAAAGGCGGTCCTGGAGCACGCCAACTCACTTTCTATCTACAGAAAAAGACAGACGAGTAGATAATTTCAGTGCTACTTGCTAAGTATTACTATAGAGGGTGTTCAGGATGCCTTAGGAGCACAGAGGAAGAGTAGATTCAGCCCTGGGGGATTGTGATCAGGGAATGAATGCCAGCTTGAGGAGGTGATACATGATACATGAGTGGGAGACCTGGGTTTGGTCCCTGGGTTGGGAAGATCCCCTGGAGAAGGTAAAGGCTACCCACTCCAGTACTTTGGCCTGGAGAATTCCATGGACTGTATAGTCCATGGGATCACAAAGAGTCAGACACGACTGAACGACTTTCATTTCATTTTTCATTTCATATGTATATATATAACTGGTTCACTTTGTTGTATACCCGAAACTAACACAACACTGTAAATCAACTATACGCCAATGAAAAATTTTTAAAAGAATTTATCCTTACTATATGAAATCTAAGCTTTGCATTCTGGCCCATAGTGCTCATTATGTTGTGGCCTCTGTTTGTGTTTTAGCTCCAGCCATGTAACTTGACTTTGGTTCCTTGCATGTACCATACCATTTCTTATTTTTGTGCCTTTGTCTTGTTGTTCCTGCTGTGCTGTGTGCTGAAATGCCCTCCTGACCCTTCTGACTCTTTGCTTCACTCTGTCTTTTCAGACTTAGCATAAGGACCCCCTCCATGAAGCCTTTCCAGGTCATTCTTGTCCACCCCCCTTCCAAGCTGAGCAAGGTCCCCTTTCTGCTTCTGTGATACCCAGTGCATATTTCTACCGTAACCTGTGCCTTTTGTTTTAATTATTTGTTCAAATGTCAGTCTCCTCCACTAGTCTGAGTATATCAGGACAGGTGCTATATTATACTCATTTTCATGACACAGTACCTAGTATAATAAGAATTCACTAAATGTTCGTGTAATGCATGGATAAAGTATAATATATAGACATCAGTTGAGAATGAGTTGGACCTATAGAGAGTGGTAGATATTTGAAACAGTTGTTAAAATGAGTGGGAAAAAGGCTCTGAACAAGGACTAATAAAAGGGTGGATTATGTATTTTGTCTTTTTGATTCTGGTGCTTATGTCTTAAGTATTTTCACTTTCCTTTTTGTTCATTAGATTGTGAACTCTTCTTTATTTCAAACATACATGTTCAGTTCAGGATTCTGGCTGATCAGTATCTCTTGATTGCAGATCCAATGGATTTGAACAGAAGCGCTTTGCCAGGCTTGCCAGCAAGAAGGCGGTGGAGGAACTTGCCTACAAGTGGAGTGTTGAGGATATGTAACTTTGCTGAGGCTGTGGGAGTGACTGTGGGTTGTGGTAGTGGACATAGGGCAGCTGTTACAGACATTCAGCTGTAACAGTCGTCTGTGCTAATAATCAGGGCCACACAGACCAGCAACTTGTTGAATACCAATTTTGACTACAGAAGAATATTTGAGATGTAATATTTGGACGAAGGACCATACATCTCAGGTGTGCTGACACTGCCGGTTGCTGGCTTTCAGAGGAACGTTGATTTGTCTGTGTCCCAGAGCTTGTTCTTGGTTAGGGTATTTCTTTTTTTAATAAACACACATTTATTTTTTTAAAATAATTTTCTTTATTGGATATTCTGTTTTGGGGAAGAATACAAGCTAGCATTGATCTACCAGGGGCCTTGGGGGTTGGTAGTTGGATTTTTCATTCATCTAGGAAGCAGGATGAGTAATAACTTTCATAGTGATAGATCCTTCCATTTAGAAAATAAGAATTATTGCTAAACTAGACATCAGAATGGACATGGATATTTGGAGACATGGTATCTGATAGAGGTAGTGTCACAAATTAGTGGGGATGAGGTGGATAATGGTGCTCAGAAAATTGGCTTATTATAAGCAAGAGAGTTCCAGAAAAACATCTATTTCTGCTTTATTGACTATGCCAAAGCCTTCGACTGTGTGGATCACAGTAAACTGTGGAAAATTCTGAAAGAGATGGGAATACCAGACCACCTGACCTGCCTCTTGAGAAACCTGTATGCAGGTCAGGAAGCAACAGTTAGAACTACACGGAACAACATACTGGTTCCAAATAGAAAAAGGAGTACGTCAAGGCTGTATATTGTCACCCTGCTTATTTAACTTATATGCAGAGTACATCATGAGAAACGCTGGGCTGGAAGAAGCACAAGCTGGAATCAAGATTGCTGGGAGAAATATCAATAACCTCAGATAAGCAGATGACACCACCCTATGGCAGAGAGTGAAGAGGAACTAAAAAGCCTGTTGATGAAAGTGAAAGAGGAGAGTGAAAAAGTTGGCTTAAAGCTTAACATTCAGAAAACTAAGATCATGGCATCTGGTCCCATCACCTCATGGGAAATAGATGGGGAGACAATGGAAACAGTGTCAGATTTTATTTTTTGGGGCTCCAAAATCACTGCAGATGGTGACTGCAGCCATGAAATTAAAAGACACTTACTCCTTGGAAGGAAAGTTATGACCCACCTAGATAGCATATTAAAAAGCAGAGACATTACTTTGCCAACCAAGGTTCGTCTGGTCAAGGCTATGGTTTTTCCAGTGGTCATGTATGGATGTGAGAGTTGGACTGTGAAGAAAGCTGAGCACTGAAGAATTGATGTTTTTGAACTGTGGTTTTGGAAAAGACTCTTTGAGAGTCCCTTGGACTGCAGGGAGATCCAACCAGTCCATCCTAAAGAAGATCAGTCCTGGGTGTTCATTGGAAAGGCTGATGCTGAAGCTGAAACTCCAATACTTTGGCCACCTCATGCGAAGAGTTGACTCATTGGAAAAGACCCTGATGCTTGGAGGGATTGGGGCAGGAGGAGGAGGGGACGACAGAGGATAAGATGGCTGGATGGCGTCACCGACTCAATGGACATGAGTTTGAGTGAACTCCGGGAGTTGGTGATGGACAGGGAGGCCTGGCGTGCTTCTACTCATGGGGTCGCAAAGAGTCGGACACGACTGAGTGACTGAACTGAACTGATGGACAAAAATAAAGTTGAATATCTCCCTTAAACCACATAAAGCAAAGACAAATTCCAAAGTGAATTTACCTAAATGAAAGGTAAAATACCAAGGCCAATAAGAAAAAAAGTGGAGAATGTATTTGTGACTTTGGGATAAGGATAAGTTCTCCAAATCACAATCCATAAAGTTTGATAACTTTGCCTAATTCGTATTTAAAGATTTCTAGTCACCAAATCACCCCGTAGTCAAAACTAAAGATAGGTATAGATTAGGAGAAAATATACCAATGTCTAAAACTGACAAATGATTACATTTATTAGCGATTGAATATAGAAGGAACTACTGCAAATCGGAAAGAAAAAACACAAAATAATAGGCAAAGGATATGAATATGTGAAATCTAGAGGGAAAACCTGAATGGCTAATAAGTATATCACCACCTGTAATTAGAAATCAAAGCATTGCTGAGTTTCTCCTGTGTATCTGTTAGTGAAAGTAAGCGAGAGACTGTATTCTCATGGGGAATGAAAACTCACGGGAAATTTCAACTAGGGCATCCCTTCTGGAGAACAAATGGGCAACACGTAACTGAAAATGAGTAATATCTGGGATGCAGTGTTGGCAGAATTTTTGATAGAATACTGTCTTGAGTTTGAATCCCAGGTATGTTTTTTGCTAAAACTGTGCCACCTTGGTAAGACACTTTTCTGTGTTTCAGTCTCTTCATCTTTGAAACGGAGATGTTACCTACCTTACAGGTTTATCATGTGCCTAGAACAGTGCCTGGCACATAGTATGTGTCACAAAACTGTTAGCTGTTGCTGTCATTGTCTTCCTAGCCATCACGTGTTGATAGCCAGCTTCCAAGATGGCCCTCCAGTGATCCCTGATTCCTGGTAGTTTAGCCCCTGTGTTGTCCCCTCCTACAGTGAATAGGGCTGACCTTGGTACCTGATAGGATGTCCCGGAAATGTGCGACTGGGTCAGAAAAAGACACTGAAGGCTTCTGCCTTGTACTCTCTTGGATCACTTGCTGTGGAAGAAGCTGGCTACTATGTCATGAGGACACGTATGTGGCCCTTGGGAGAGACCCATGTGGAGAGTAACTGAGGCCTCACCGGTAGACCCACCAGGTTATCGACCACGTGAGAGCCGCTGTGGAAGTGGGTCCTTCAACTCCATTCAGGCCTTTAGCTGTGCATAGCTCTGATCAACAAGGTGGCCACCACGTCATGAGAATTCCTGAGTCAGAATCACCCAGCTCCAAATTCTTGACCCAAAGAAACTGTGATAGTAGTTGTTTATTATTTTTTAACAGCTTGAGATGTAATTCACATAACCATAGTGTTTACTCGTTTAACATGTACAACAATTCAGTGGTTCTTAGTAGATCATGGAATTGAAGTATAACTTCGTCATAGTTACTTTTGAAACATTTTGGATTCAGGGAACTTTGTATCCATTAGCAGTCACTCTCTACCTGTCCTCATCTCCCCCAGCTCTAGGCAACTGCCAGTTTTTCTGTTTTAGAGTCATTTCATACAATGTGTGCATGGACTGTCATACAACATGTGGCTCTTTTCACTTAGCATAATGTTTTCAAGGTTCATCTGTGTTGTACTATGTATCAACATTACATTCCTTTTTATGGCTGAATAGTATTCCCTTGTGTGGGTATAACACATTTTAATTATCCATGCATCTGTTGATAGATGTGTAGCCACTTTTTGGCTCTTGTGAATAATACTGCTATGAATATTCATATATCAGTTTTTGTATGGACTTATGTTTTCACTTTTCTTGGAGTAGAATTTTTGGTTCGGTATGGTAGCTCCAGGGCTTCCCTGGTGGCTCAGCAGTAAAGAATCTGCTTGCAATGCAGGAGCTGCAGGTTCAATCCCTGGGTCAGGAGGAGGAAATGGCAACCCACTCCAGTGTTCTTGCCAGGATAATCCCACAGACAGAGGAGCCTGGTGGGGTTCAGGCCATGGGATCACAAAGATTCAGACATGACTGAAGCGATTGAGCACACATGCACGCGTGATAATTCCATGTTTTACTCTTTGAGGAACTGCCAGACATCCAAAGCAGCGTGACAAAGTTCCCGTTTCTCCACATCCTTGTCAGGTCTTGTTTCTGTTGTCGACCACACTGCACGACTTTCAGGATCTTAGTTCCCAACCAGGGATTGAACCCAGGCCATGGCAGTGGGGTTGAACCCAGGCTATGGCAGTGAAAGCGCCAAGTCCCAGCCACTGGACCATCAGGGAACTCCTGCCAATACTTATTTTCTGTCTTTTTTGTTGTAGCTATCTAGTGGTATAAAGCTAGCTGTAATCAAAAAGACAGTAAGTATTGATAAAAGTGGTATGTAATTGTGTTTTTGATTTGTATTTCCCTAATGCCTAATATTGTTGAATATCTTTATATATTTTCTTTGGAAAATGTTTATTTAAATCCTTTGCTCATTTTTTCAGCTGAGTTGTTTATCACACACGACACATTCACACTCTTACGTAGAATTCTTTATATATCTCTGGTAAAAAGTCTCTTATCAGATGATTTGCAAATATTTCTTCTCATTCTGTGGCTGTTATTAGTTTTAAGCTGCTAAATTTTGAAGTAATTTGTACACAGCAATAGATACCTGATGCATTAAGTTTGTGCATACCCTTCATCAAAGCAGTTCCATGCCTGGCTTTATCCTTCAGAGAAACTTGCACAGATCCACAAGGAGTTAGGTATAAGGATATCTATATGTAGTTTGGGTAGCAAGAAGCTGAAAACAGCTTAGATGCCTGTCTCTAAAGGAATTGATTAGTAAAAAATGTGGTATACGCATATGATGAAATATTATAAAAAGTAGTCAGATGCAGCTACTAGGATATGATAGACTCCAGGTGAGGAAAGTAAGGAATAATAGAATTTACAGCAAAAATTAGCTAAGTAAATTGAACACAGAACACAACAGAAACACAGAAGGCATTTTTAAAGGAGAACTTATACCTTAACTCACTAGAATGGGGTCTGTGGGAGGGAACAGAATGGGACTAGAGTGGGGAATGAAGGAGGGAAAGAGAAACAGGAGGATGAATGAGATAATGTGTCCTAAACTCGGGCATGTGATCCACTCTGTTCTATGTGCCTGCGGTTCTAGGCACACATCCAGAAGCAAGCTCTTACTCTAATGGGATTGGCGTTTAGTGCCTGTGTCAGTTGGGGTAGGCTGAACTGCTGTGACAGCTAGATGGACTGGCTTATACGATGACCGTTTGTTCTCCCTCCTCACTCATATCCAGGGAAGTTTCAGATTGGGGCAGAGGGAGGGGGATCCCTACTCCATGCCATCATTTAGGGAGCAGGCTGATGTCAACATTGACATGGCTTCCGAGGTTGCCTGGGGCATTGCCATTTTGGTGAGTTGAGCAGAGCTTTGAGGGTTGGTTGGTGGATGTTATGGGCAAGCTCTAGAAGTGGCATACTGTCCCTCACATCCTGTTAGCTGCAACTTAGTTGCATGGCTGTCCCTTAATACAAAGGAGCTTGAGAAATGTGCACCCAGGAAGCAGGGGAAAATGAATGTTGTTGGGACAGCCATTCTCTCTGCTGCAGTCCTGAAGAAAGGCTCTCTGCCCCCCAGGCACTTGAGAGATGCATGGATTTTATTAAAATAATTCTGAGATCTGAAAATCCCAGGGGGACTCCATTCTCTTAACTGGGGAGTCTCAGCTGAAGTCACTACCAAGTGAGGAATATCTCTTCTCTGGTTGGTTAGTGGCTCTCAGATAAGAGGTTAGGCAGGGAGATGAAGGCTAAACTTGTGTCTAGCATCAGCATTTGTAAGAACAGGTACTTTAGAGAGGAAACAGCTCAGGAAATAAACTTGAAGGTTCTGTAGTTAGCGTGGGGCAGAGTTGGAACTAGGACCCAGTGTTATACTGGGCTCTACACTGCCTATCTGGTCCTCTGGTTCCTTGCCGTAATCCTGTTTTTCAAAGGCCCAAGGGTAGAACATTGTGTTGAAACTGGTGAAATCCAAATAAAGTCTGGAGTTTACTTCATAGAATTATGCCATTGTTAATCTTAGTTTTGAAAAATGCACGTAAGTTTACCGTCAAGAAATCTTTGTGAAGAGTAACAAGTAACTTTGTATTGTCTTTACAACTTTCTGTAAGTCTAAAATTTTTCCAAAATAAAAAGTTTATTTTTTAAAAAGGCCCCAGGGAATATAGGTTGTGGACACTGGATCCCACTCTTAAGTTACTACCTTTTGAGTTTATCCTCTCATAAGCTGTTGAAGTCAGTCCCTTTCCTCTGAGTGGCAGCAAGTACATTCAACTTCTAGCCTGTTGTCACATCTCTTGTCTGCAGCTGGCTTTTATTTCCATATGGGTTCAGGTTTTAACTTCATTTTTGTGGGGCCTTACACTGTTTTTTGGGAAGAACTCACTTTAAAAGAACTGACTTTAAGTCACTGTGACGGACTGAATGTTGTATCCCCCCACCCTCCCCAACCCCCAATTCATTTGTTGAAACCCTAGCTCCCAAGTTGGTGGTATTAGGAGGTGGGGCTTTTAGGGGGTGATTAGGTCATGAGGGTGAAACCCTTGAGAATGGGATTAGTCCTTATGAAAGAGACCCAAGAATGATCTCTTACCTTTTTTGGCTTTTTTTTGATCATGTGAAAGCACAGCAAAAAGCTAGCTGTCTGTGAGCCAGGAAAGTGGCCCCACTAGTTATCAAGTCTACTGGTTCCTTGATCTTGGACTTCCTAGCTTCCAGAACTGTCAGAAATATTTGTTATTAAAGCCATGCTATGGTATTTTTTTTTGCAGCAGCCTGAATGGACTGAGAGATTCAGATACTTTGAAAATCTTAATCAAATTTTCCCCCCTTAACAAAAGAATTTATCACCTGTTTTCAAGCAGAGACTGAGGTAGAAGGGAAGCAGAGTCTATCTCAGATAAACTTTATGTTTAGTGGACATTGGTGATAATGTATGAATTCCTTCTCCCACCAATTCTTCTGCCTTTGCATATATGAGCACAGTACATCCTTAGTGCCTCTGCACTGTTCAGCTGAAAGCTGGATGTGATTCCTTAGGCTGGCTGCTAGAGGGCAGTGTGATACATGTTTTCTGGACTGGGGAAGCAGGGCCCTGGGTCCATGAAGGTTTTTTTCAAAATAATAAGCCCTAGAATCTTTCAGGGGCTTTCCTGGTGGCTCAGATGGTAAACAGTCTGCCTGCAATGCCAGAGACCTGAGTTCAATACCTGGCTCAGGAAGATCCCTGGAGAAGGACATAGTAACCCACTCTAGTATTCTTGCCTGGAGAATCCCATAGACAGAGGAGCCTGGTGGGCTGTAGTCTATAGGAGCCCCAAGAATTGGACATGACTGAGCAACTAACACACACACAGAAAACACACGCACAGAATCTTTCAAGGATATAGGTGGCTAACTTCAGTTGCAGATTCCTCTACTTCTTATCCTTGCCTTAGATCTAGAAACAATCCTGACTTCAATTTGGTAAAGATTTTCAAGAGACACACCTACTATTCAGATTTGAACAGGATCTACCTTACTTGAGCTTTGGAATCCTTTCTCTACATGGAAGACTTATTATTATAATTTAAAAAAATTTTAATCATATTCAGACCTTCTTACTCTCTTTCTTTTCCTAGTCCTTCAGTTTGAAGTTTAGACTTAAGGAGCAGTGAGCAATACTAAAAACTGCAGAGTTGTACACTTTACAAGAGTACGTTTTATAGTATGTGAAATATGTCTGAAAAAATATGAAGGGAAATAAACAGTAGTGAGCAGAGGCTGTCTCTCAAATAGAATATAATTAATTGATGATACTGATTTGAGAAGCCTTAATGCTTTGCCGTTGGCTCATTAGCAAGAGGGAAAAACTCTGATCTTTTTTTTCCTCAAGTTTCTTGGAATGCACTGAACTTCTAGGACACAGAGGGCGTCATTCCTGTCTAAAGAGGTTACTCACCCTAGTCAAAGAGCAGGACTAGGGTTAGGGTTTGCCAGGGAAATGCCAGTGAGAAGGCTGAATCTAGGCTGTGAGGTAGCTATCTTGAGGCCTGAGTTTTACATTTGAGTTTGTTAAGACATGTGTGTCCTGAACTGTGCATTTCTGCATAGGTTATTTGGGTAGTTTCTTTCTCTCAATCTCTCTCTGTCTCCCCCTCTTTTTTTAGTGTTGAGTCCTGTTTTTGGCATAAATATGTCGGGAGCTGGCTTGTCGGCAGCTGGGCTGACCTGTGAAAACAAGTAGAGAGATCATGGGTCTCAGCTGGTGCCGAGGCATGTCTCCCCCATGGCACTGGCCTCTCTGCCGTGTGCCGGTGACAGTACTTACCTGGGACTGACTCAGTGTCTCCTTTGTACCTGAATATCTTCCTCTGCTTAGTGGAGGAAGTGTGTGTTTCTCACAGTTGATGCTGTTGACCTTGGGCTTACACAGTTTCACCCTTTCGGAAAATAAGGGCAGGTAGGAGGTCCTGGTGGTCGTTTGATCCTCAGCTGGTGCCTGTGAAGCCGTACCCTTGGGAGGGGACAGAGGGCAGTGAGCCAAAAAAGGAATCAGTCTTCTTCTTCCTGCATATTATGTTCAGCACCCTCTGTCAGCTGAGGAGCAGGTCAAAATGCAATGTCTAGTGCTTAGTAAGCAGGGCCTGTTTTCTTCCTTTTTCTTTGGGCAAGAGAGGTCAACTTGCTCAGAATCTCTCTGAACTGCAAAGGACCCTGGATTTAAACATCAGACTCCTCTCTCAACAGGTCTCCCCCCATCCCTCCTCACCCTAGTGGCCAGGTAAGAGGTCAAGGGAGAGTCTCGGGACAGTCCCCTGCCGACGGAAGGAGCACTTACCAGGGCATTCTCATCGCTTCTGTGACGAAGGTCTCCATGGCGTACTCTGGGCTGAGTTCCCCAGTCCTGGAAGCATTGCTTGCTGAGAGTTTCGGCTTGGAGCTTGGCTTTGAAGACCCTGAATGTGCTAGAGGGGCAGTTAACCTTGACTCTTTTTTCCAGGGATTGGGGAGGAGGTAGATAAGACATCTGGGAAGAGAGGAATGCATGTCTGGGGAAATGATAACAGCAGCAACAATGATTTTAAGTGCTATCTTTGGTTAAGTACTTACCACGTGTCAGGCATATGTTAAGTGCATACATACCTCACCTCTGTGGTCAGGAAGAGTTCAGAGTCTGTAAGTGGCTGTGGATTTGGGAAGGCCAAATTTCTGGATTTCCCAAGAAAAGTGGTGTGGGCTATCTTGGCAGGGTAAATTCTTTTTTTGTTCCCTGCATGCCATCTTGGGATGAGGGGGTTGCTAGGATCTTTGTGTGATTCCCCTTGACAGAGCACGTGCACACTTTACCCTGGTCACTGCGTCTCCATCACATTTGGCAGCCCTCTTCCCACCCAGGGTGGGTGTCTCCTGCTTCGGGCAGCTCAGCTTCTCATGCCTGTGCGTAGTGGGCTGCCAGACAGGAGCCAGGAGCCTCCGCAGGGTCTGGATATATTTGCTGCATGGGGTAAAAAATATTTCTGTTGATCTGAGTCTGTAACTTTGAGCCAGTCCAGTGATGCCAAATACAAAGGCATCGGGGCCTTTGCGAGCTTACTTTGCTGGGTCATTTGTGTGCCTGCCTAAATTATGCAGTGTATTTTCAGGTAATTTCAAATGAAAATTTATTTCTCCTCTGAAAACAAAAATTTAATTTATTTTATCTCTGTTTGTTTTCACACTCCCTGGTTATCAGACTGAGACCCAGCAGAGAGGATGTGACACCTGCAGCTGAAGGATAGGGCAAGAGAGAGAATTTCTGAATCACCCTGTTAGGTAGCTTGAGGCTACAGCTTAGAGAATGTGGTCTTGGGAAACAGGAGCTTGGAAGTATGTTTGCTGGAGGGGGTGGGGCGGGGGGGTTCTGTTGCTAGGCTGGTGGCCCTGATCACTTTGGGGTGAAGATTTTCATCTACCATCTTAGAAGGGCTTCTCCAATGGCTCAGCAAGTAAAGAATCCACCTTCAGTGTAGGAGACATGGGTTTGATCCTGGGTTGGGAAGATCCCCTGGAGGAGGCAATGGCAACCTGCTCCAGTATTCTTGCCTGGGAAATCCCATGGACAGAGGAGCCTGTGGGCTGCAGTCCATGGGGTCTCAGAGTCGACAGGACTGAAATGACTCCCACCTTAGAATAGGATGACTGTTTCTGTAACATTTGTATAACATTGTGCATGTTACTGGCTTTGGGTTAGAGCTGGGCCTTCTAACTTTCAGGAGTGAGTCAGGGGTATGTAGAGGGCCATTCCAAGCCCCCAGAGAATCAGGCTTTAATAGCGGAGAAGCTAAGACAAGATTGGACAAGTGGAATGTCCGATTCTCAGTTTCACCGGCACTGGATAAGCCTGGCTGCCCTACCTCCTGGCTTGCAATTAGAGTTCACATCTCCTAAGATGCCTAAGAGAAGAGCTGACCACCCCTGGTTATGAACAGCATGCAGTTTGTCCTTGCTCAACACTTATTTGAAGTTACAGGTCTGAACTAGATGGAGATGCAAGATTATCAGTTAGTCCTTCACACTATTGCCTTCTCCAGTTATGTCTCTCAACTGGCAGAAGACAGTTCTGAAGTTACTACCTATGGGAAACAGAGTCCTCCTCTGGCCCCTCCCCCCATAGCAAAATTACTAGTTTGCCCATGGTTTGGGCCACTCACTTGATCCCCTGGCTGCTCTTGTCTGGGTCAGGTTTGAGGACTTGATTGCACTCTGGAGCTTGGAAGTCTCTCTCATACTGGTTGATACAGTTCCTGTAGTCTGGATCCATTACTGATGCAATTTTTCGGCCCCGAATGTAAACTGGGAACATTGACTGACCAAGGGGAGAGCTCTGGAAGGCAATCTGATGAGGAGCGGTCAAGTAGTGGTCACCTAAGGGGAGTGAGAGAGTGTGCAGAGGGCCTACTGTCTGTGGGAAGGGCATAAGATGAAAGGTGGGGATGTGGGGGCCAGCTGGGCAACGGAGCCCAGCCTTTTATGTGGAAAGAGCAGATGCCCAGAGGGTTTCCCAGGTGGCTCAGGGGTAAAGAATCTGCCTGCCAAGTCAGGAGACCCAGGAGACCTGGGTTCGATCCCTGGGTTGAGAGGATTCCCTGGAGGAGGGCATGGCAACCCAGTCCAGTAGTCTTGCTTGGGGAATCCCATGGAGAGAGGAGCCTGGCGGGCTGCAGTCAGACACGCGGAGAGTCAGACACGACTGAGCACAAGCAAAGGCAGATCCCAGATATGCCCACATTGCTTCCTCTCCCCTCTGGCCTTTAGAGTCATCTCCCCGAGACCAGAAATGAAGTCCCTAGTGTGGCGTTGCAGAGTGGCCTTGCAGCCCCTTTCAGGTAATTTGAGCTTTGGCAGCCTGGGCTGCAGAGCTGCTGCTGGTCCAGCCCAAACGGGGAGGAGGAGGGTCGGCTGGGATAGGGTAGTGGGTGCCCTTCCAGAGGGGTCATGGCTAACAGTGTAGCTGGGGATGGCCTGCAAGCCTCTTGCAGGGTCACTTGCCACTTATTGCGTTCTGCTGGGTTGGTATTTCCCACGCCTGGGATCTGCCTGGGGCACAGGAGTGCCCCTGGTTAGGTTGGGGACAAAGGGATCAGTTTCTGCTTTATGCAGGGTGCCACTCTGTCCCCTGTTACCTTGTACCCCGCCATGCCAGGCCTCACCTGAATGGGAGGGCTCCTCTCCATAGTAAGTCCAGGGCTTGTGGCTCTCTCCATAGGTTGTACTGAGGTGAATCCATGGAGGCTTGGGCTGGCTGAAGTAGCTTAGGCGTTGGAGCTCGAGTGGAGCCTTGGGTAGGGTCTCCAGGCGGTATTTAACATCTTCTGGGGCTATTTCATTCTGGGCTTCTGACTCCTGCAAAGCAACCCCCTCTTGCTGCTTCTTCATTGCAGGAGGTTCACTTCCGCCTCTGTTCAGAAGGGTGCTTCTTATCTTCCCCTCATTAATAGTGAAAGCTGGTGGGAATGTGTCTCCTAGAGTGAGAGGTTGGCAGAAACTAGGTGGGTGCTCCCATCTAGCAAGTTCCTGAAATTCTCTGAGCCACAATGTCTTTATTTGAGAGGATCTGAAATAAAGTACCTAGCATAGTGCCTGGCATGTAGTAGGTGCTTCATAGGTAGTATCTTCTCTTAAAATGTTTCTGTTAAGATATTTGGAGAGGTGCCTGCTGCATCAGTGGCATGTGCCCCTGTTGACTCCACTCTTGCCTCACTCCTGACCTTACCTGAGCCGCAGGATGGCTTTTCCTTGGCCGGGCTTGGTGAGCCAGCATCTCTTGATGGGTGGGATTGAGGGCTAGGCCATTTGAAGCAGGGTACTGAAATGGGTCGGGTCTTCTGTCCCCAGGAGAGGTAGTGTCTAGAGCAAGGGGAGAAGTCATGATTGACTTGTTCCCATGATTCTTCCCCCATCCACCTCCTGGCAGCCTTCCCTCACCCGTTACTGCATTAAGGGAAGGAGCGGGCTGCTGCTGGTATGTCCAGGCAGGACCCAGATTTAGTTTATTTGTGGTTGGATCAGTGAGAACTAGGTGGGGGGCTTTCTCTGCATATGAGGACATACAGCATTTCAAAAGCCATTCTTTCTAATGAGCACTTCAACCCTCTCTCTTTTTTTTGGCCTTGGGAGTGGTGCTGGCTCGGGAGGGGTGGACTCACTGAAAGGTGGGTGGAGCCCCAGACAGGCGGCTACCGGCTCCAGGGCTTGCTGTCTCGGTGGTGGTCTGTGGTTCCTAACGGGCAGAGGAAAGAGTGGTCTAGGAGCCTGGGGAGGTGAGAGCGCCAGGGGTTTTGCTTCTTGCCTGCTTCTGAAGCTGTGAGTAAGGATACACCCCCATGGGGCCACTGGAAGGCCCTCCAGATCCTCAGAGATGGCAGAAGGTGGCCTCTTTTCCAGCTACACTGACTCAGCATTTGAATTTTTGAGGGTGGCAGATGGGGAGAGGGTGGGCTGCTGCTCATTCTAAGCACCTTTTTGACAGGTGAAGAAAGAATATTTTTGACTGGCCAGCGTGAGATGCAGGAGGCAGGGCAGGGTATGTGGTGTCCTTAGGATGGAGAAAGAGGCTGCTGAAGGGCCGTAAACCGGTAGGTAGTGGGGAGCAGGTAATGAGAACTCCGTGAGAGGACTTCCCTCGAACCATCAAGGTCCGGGTGAGTCCTGGGCCAGAACCATACCCAGGACAGGGGGTGTCCTGAGTCCTCTTCTGACAGCCCTACATCAGAGCGCAGAAGAGGGGCGGGTGCTTTGGGGACAGGGATGGGAGTGGGGTGGCAGTCCTGGGGCGGGTAACTGGACCCGCACCCCCAGTGGCAGGAGCCCACAGAGAGGCTGCAGGTGGGCACTTGGGCCCGACCCTGTCCTCTGTCCCTCGCTCCCGACTGAGTGCCCGTGCTTTGGCATACTGGCATGGTTCTGAGCTCCGGTGACTTAGAGTGCTGTGGTCTGCCTCCGTGAATGTGAGAGCCACTGCACTGGCTTTGCAGGGCAGGCGGGGCCTGCTGTGTTCCTAACACAGGAACAGGCTGCTCTGGCTGCAGCTCGGGAGGGGTGGGCGTGGGCCTGCTCAGGCCTGGTGTCTGCTGCCAGCTTCAGGTCCCACTCTGGATCTCTACTCTTTGTGAAGTATGTGAGCCCAAGCTCCGGCCCTTCAGACGCCTGTCCTTTCCTGCTCTCTTCTCCACCCAGCACATACACACACACACTCACACACACACACACTCACACCCACCCACCAGGTGTTGTCTTGAGACAGAAGATTGACTGGCATCTTAGCTGTATAGATTTGCCAGTGGCTGACACTCTTTCAGAACCTGTAATCACAAAACAGTAATCTTAGAGTTGGAAGATACCTTAAAGGACTTCGTACACTACCCTTTGTCACACCAGTTAATTTAAAAGTATTTTCCATCAGTTCAGTTTATTAGCTCAACTGCTGTCCCAACTTCTGGTCTCATGGAGGGGCAGTGCTATTTGTCTTAATCCTAGAATCAGAGTTAGAAAGTGTTATAAAGAGATCTAACCCTCACACCCACTCTACTGCCGGGAGTTCAAAGGCAAGTCGTATTTGTGGGAAGGGCCACACCCACCCGTGTTTAAGCACTTTCCTCCGTGTCCTCACCTCCTGGGACAGAATGTATTCCATTTGTGGGCTGCTCCAGCCACATTCACTTGTGTTTCCTGTGGCTTCACCATTTGTCTGCGTTCTCCGTCTTGGGGCTTACAGAAGTAGACTAAGAACCCCTTCTCTACCTGACAACACTTTGGATGTGTTGGGACACACTTTTTCCCATGCCCTTCCTGCTTCCCTCCCTGGAGCCATAAGGTTAAGGTAGTAGGAGGAGAGTTATGTATTGAAATTTGTGTAAGAAAGGAAACAAAACAATTTTCATATATAATAAGATGGTAGGAAATTACACTTCATACTTAGAGGGTTTAATTGTGTTTACAGATGCTTTATACAGGGACTCTTCCCTCCCTTCACACCCAATCCAGCAGCAGAACTAAGCATGACCACCCAGCTATAGGCTGACGGGAGAGGAAGAGGTGGGAGGAAAAGGATGAAGGACTGGAGGAGAGGACCAAGCCGGTCATAGGAGGGATCTGGAGGCCTGCTCAACTTAACCTTGAAGGGTGGTCTCAGGCTGGGTCAGAATCATAAATAAAGAGCAGGGGGAACTCAATAGGTTGGAGGAACTATTCAACAGACTAGCCCGGCCAGCATGGCCTCATGCTGGAGAGGAGTTAACTTGTGAGTCACAATGTGAGGAGCCTTTTGATGTGTACTAAAGAGAAAGTGCTGATGAAGGCAAACTCAAGCAACCTCCTGAGGTGCTGGGAGATCCCTCCCCGCCCGGGTTATGGAGCAGAGGCTGGAAGGGCCTGTCTTTCCCACTTCTGCTTCGGAACTCAGAATGCAGACTCACGGGACTTCCCTGGAGGTCCAGCGGGTGAGACTCTATGCTACCGAGGCGGGGGGCTGGGTTCAATCCCTGGTCAGGGAATTAGATCCCACATGCCACAGCTAGGAGTTTGCATGCCTCAGCTAAAGATCCCATATGCTGCAACAGAGATCAAAGACCTTGTATGCTGCAACTAAGAGCTGGCACAGCCAAATAAATAAAATATTAAAAATAATACAGACTCGTGCTCCCACTCCCAGGCATGCTGCTGCTCGCCTGTTCAGCCTTTGTCTGGGTCTCCGTGGCACTTTGGACCCAACATTCATCATGCTGTTTTATGAGGTGTGAGCTCCTGTGGCCGGAACTCTTACTCATTTTCTGATTATTATTTATTATTTGCTTATTCAGGTCTCTAACTCACTTTCAAATGTCCAGCTTGTAGCCTGAGGCGTTACACCTCAGAACTAATAGCTTTCATTAATTTGGGCTACTGTGCGCCAGGTCTCTCCATACATTAATCTCATAAAAGCCCAACGAGCTTGACGCTAATATTTTCATTTTGCAGATGAGGAAGCTGAGGCTAGAGACCACAGTGCTGCCAAAGCCTATGCTCCCTGTCCAGTTGAATGAATGGGTCTTGAGGGAGTTGCTTTAGGTGAGAACAGGCCAAAGCGGGCGCAGTGCTTTCAGGTGCCCCACTCAGCTTAATCTCTGACCAGCTTGCTAGCTGATTATCATGTCTGCAACATGAGGTGAATGCCTGATTAGCACATGAACCTCCTGTTATATATTCATGGAGTGGCTCTACCAGCCATCCCAGGCCCAGTGACAGGGAGCTTGTGGCTTTTGTGGGAACCGGGGATGGGAAGCATGATTTTCCCATTGTTGGCAGGGAACGTGGAGGGTACTGGGGTCACATGGGAGGCAGGCCGAGGACGAAGCCTTGCCTGCAGGATGTGTCCAGGCTCCTCGGTGTCCTGTCGGGGGCCCTTGGGACCTGACCTATAAGCCCTTCCCCTGTACTGTCCGGACTTGTCACATCCTTTGGTCCAGGGCCACTGGTTCAGGCCTCTGCTTTTCCAAGCTGCCATTTCTGCCCTGTTCTTCCTTCCCCAAGTGGAACCTCCTCCCATACTCTCCTTCAGGGCCAAGCTCAGATGTCATCTCCTTTGTGGAGTTTTCCCTGGCCTCCTAGCTTTGGGCAAAGAGGCAGAATGAAATGCCTCCTCTTCAGGCTTGCCCCCATAACACTTGTTCATATCTGACTCTATTATTAATCTCTTGATATGATAATGAATGTGGCTTTCCCCCCAAGCCTGACTTAGAGCTTACTAGAGCTTAGAACTTACTAAGTCAGAGACCACAGTCTGTAGCATCCAACACAAAACCTGGCCTAGGCTTTATTAAATAGGAAACACAATTAATATTTGCTGAATTCAACTAAATGCTTGGTTGAGGTTTCATAAGACCTGGGCAAATGTGAACTTCCAGAATTCAACAAGTGATGTGCAAGTATAGGTAGAGCGTTTTTGGAAATCTTTGTAAGGGTTTTGTGATTTATATTTTTCCTTTTCATCATAATCCTCTCCTGCAGGAGGCAAAGGGGGTAACAGTCCCAGTTTGGCCAGGGTTTCCCAGGTGGCACTAATGGTAAAGAACCTGCTCACCAATGCAGGAGCTGTAAGAGATGCAGGTTCGATGCGTGGGTGGGGCAGATCCCCTGGAGGAGGAAATGGCAACCCACTCAAGTATCTTTGCCTGGAGAATCCCGTGGACAGAGGAGCCTCGCAGGCTACAGCCATTGGGGTCACAAAGAGTCGGCACAACTGAAGTGACTTAGCACGCACATAGACGCTGGGAGAGGCTGGAGGGGAAATGGTGGAGGCGTGGGACTGAGCCCAAGGGCCAACCAACCAGACCAGGGGCCACTTGAGTGCAGGACGTGACTTCTCTGCCTCCAGCAGGGTCTGGCCATGTGCTTCACGTGGGGGCAGGCAGCAGGTGCCTGAGAGTGGGAAGGCGGTGCAGGAAAAGCCCTGTGTGCCTGCTGGTTTCTCTCTTCCGACGAGGCTTACACTGCTCTGTGGAGGACTGATTGCTGTCTGAGTCCCCCTCGTGCCACCACTCTTGGTTCCTGGTGTAGATGGTGGGCAATCGTATATTACTTTATACCCAACTTGTATTAACTTCTCTAAATGACAGAAGGTATAGACATTCCCTGATTTCTATGACTCCATTGTATTCAGTAGCTCAGTCCTGTCTGCCTCTTTGTGACCGTATGCACTACAGTTTGTGACCCTATGGCCACCAGGCTCCTCGGTCCTTGGGATTTTCCTGAGAAGAATACTGGAGTGGGTAGCCATTTTCTCCTCCAGGGGATCTTTCCGACACGGGGATCGAAGCCCCATCTCCTGTGGCTCCTGCACTGCTGGTGGATACTTTACTGTTGAGCCACGGAAGCCCCTTGACTCCACTCCCATCCCAAACAGTGGTCTCTATACCTCTGTGCATAGGTATCCTAACCCAGATGGGTAGAGAAGAAGGGGTTCCCTAGGAACCTTGCATAACCAGGCAGTGGCATGAGAGGGAGGGATCCTGTGACCCCCAATTTGGGCTCTGACTTCCCTCCTCATTTCTTAGGTTGAGGGGTGTGTGTGTGTGTGTGTGTGTGTGTGTGTGTGGTGTCTTCATTTATTGAATTTTGCAGTTCAGGCTAGGGAGTCAGCTGGGGAAAAGTAGGTGTAAAGTAAAGAGGAGAGAGAGGCTTTGTAGAGGGCAGAGGCCACACCTGCGAACCAGAGAACGCAACCCTCTGGGTCGGGCTGCCCTGCTGCCCTGGGCATGGGTGGATGCAGACTGCTCTGTGTTGCCGCCTGCTGGGCACATGTGGAAACAGCACTTTACTCCCTCGGGCTACCTACCCTTTTGCTGAGTTTTCTACAGTATCTTCTGTAGGTTCCTTCTGTCAAGCATTTCCTCTGATGGAAAGGACTTACTTTCCCTCTCTCCCCAGGCAGGATTGTCAAAAGGCACCTCTGCTCTGGCCCAAGACAGGGCTCCCGTGTAGCCCAACAGGGAGTGTCTCTGGGAAGGGGTGGAGAGATGACTTATCTCTGTGCTTGGCGTTTCTCTGCCTTCTTCCCAGGCTCTCTGGGAACCGGGGCTTGGCTGTGATTAGAGAGAGCATTTAGTTTATCGTCCCAGCCAGGACCACTGTGACAGTAAACGGCATGTGAGCTCTCAATAACTGCTGAGACAGCGGGGGTAAACCAGGCCTCTCCCAGGTCAGTGACTGGAGTTCACGGGGGGCCTTTCCTGCCGAGGCCGGGTGCGGGGGGTGCGGGTGGCCAGCAGAGGCTGCTGCAGCGCTAGCGGTGTGTGCAGGTCTCGCTGTCTCGGGGGCTCCCTGGCCACTGAGGGGCTTGTGGGGGAGCAGAGAACTGGCTGTGTTGGGTGGAGCTGGCTGTGGTGAGGGCTGAGGTCCCCTGAGTGGCAGTGTGACAGAGCCTGGAGCCCGTGCGGCTCGTCTGAGCCTGATTGACAGTGTGATGAGAGGGCTGTGTGCACCCTTTCCTCGGGTTGGAGCCCGAAGCCCCGAGGCCTGGTTTCTCCCTGCAGTTCGTGGGTTGGACTGTGTCTCCCCTGAGTCCTGGCACCTCTCGTCCTGCCCCTTCAGGCAAAGACTGGGCAAGTGGTTTCTGGAGCTACCAGTCCTGGAGACTGGTGCCCTTCTAGGTGGGTAAGCACTTGACTGGAGGGCCCATGGATACCCTGGGCTGGTGGTGGTGGTTGGGGGGGCCCTGGGATGTCTGGAACCCTCTGTCAGACCGGCCTGACTGACCTGCACATGGGGAACACAGAGCAGCGTGGGATCCCGAGAAGGAGAAGGGCTCCCTGGAAACAAGCAGCCCGCCCTCCTCTCACCCAGCTTGAAATCTGGCAGCAAGACTCTACTTCCCTCTTTTCTGTCTGGGGGACTTCCCTCCCTTGGACCCTAAGAGCAGGGTTGGGAGACCCTGTTCCTTGGTAGGAAAGAATTTCTGTGGTGGGACAGGGTCCTTCCCCCTACTTTGGCCTGGGGAAAGCCTCCCAGCCCCACCCCACTCTATCTTTCCTCCCCACCCACCTGAAGGGAGAGGCCAGTGTCTGACTTTGCAGACCACGTGTAGGTGATCATGCCCCTGCTCCTTGCCCTTCTGTGCTCAGTGACGGCAAAGGGGAAGCATTCTCAGCAGGCTGTGTGGTGCGCTGCCTGCCTAAGCAGAGAATTCTGAAGCAGCAATGGGTATCCAGGGCAGCCTTGGGATTACCATGGCAACAAGTGACAGTGGTGGGGAGGTGGGGTTGGAACTCAATTCCTGGGGTGGACAGAGAGGCGCTAGAGGGTAAGGAGGAGAGAGAAGCCCCCCGAAGCCTCCTGACAGAGGGCAGTGTGCCCCTGGTCCGTCAGAACCCACACTCCTGGCATGGTCCGCAAAGGCACCCTGCTGAGCCTGGGCAGAGGGTCTGCTGGTGTGTGGAGTCGTGGCTGCTCTCGAGGGGAGTGGGGGAACCAAACTCAGTGGCAGAGATTTGTTTTCTAGATCCATCTGAAGAATGGCCATGGGTTTTAGACTGCTCCAGCCGGCTTCCTATGTGGGGGACCCTGAGCTATCAAAGTTAACCTAGACCAGCAACTGGGGATCAATTACATGCCTATAATGTGCTTTCCAACTACCCCTTAACAAAAAGCAGCCTGTTTGGAAAAATAAAAGGAATAAAAATGCTTTTCTGATCTCTGGGGCCACTGGGCCAGTGAGATCCTTCCCTCCACGGTGTCTTTGCCCACTCCTCATTCATTACTTCTGCAGATTAGGCAAGCCTGGGTTAACCCTTCAAGTGTCGGGTTTGTGGTGAGGGGTGGCTGCTCTTGCCTTCTCCAGACAAGCCCTCCTCCCAGACAGTTCTCAGGAGCACAGAGTGGGCCAAGTCCAGTGCCTGCCAACCTCCTCCCCACCCTCCCTCTGGCTGCCAAATCTGACTTTGATTAGCGTGTGGAGGGGGAAGAAAGCAGGAAAATAGAATATTAAAATCTTAATTCAATTTAAAGCACTGTCATTCACAGGCATGCCAAACAGTGAGATGACTAATTATTATGCAAATGAGGCAGATAGAAAAGTGATTAATAATTGCACAAATTAAAAATTATTGTAAACATCCTGTGACGAGCGATAAGTCCGTTGGAGAGGCGAGGGCGGTGGGCTGGGGAGGCCATGGTGGAGCCGGCTCCTGCATCCTTATTTCCTCATTAGGAGGATTTAATTAGCGCCCGATGATGGGGCTCAGTGCTGCTAGGGGCGAAGGAGTGGGGGCTGGCCGTGCTGATCTGCAGGCCCGCTCCTGCTCCTCCTCAGCGCCTGGCAGCCGTGCTGAACCAACTGGACAGTGGTGGAGGTTGGGGACGCAGGCCAGTCACCCTGAAAGGATGGGTGCTGACACCTCCTCCACTGCCTGTACCAGCTGCTCCCTCAGGTCTGGGTCGGAGGTGATGGGGAGCACGCCTCTGACTGGTGGGCATATCCTGGTTCAGCCACGCAGGCCTAGTGAAGGGACACAGAGCAGTTCTGGAAGTTCAAGTGAGGGTGGACAGGTGCATGATGTTGCCTAGATCCAGGGTTCCCCAGTTCTGGGGGGGGGGCATGGCGGAACCAAGTCAGTGCCTTGAGCTGAGTGACTCTTCTCCAAGTCCACACCTCCCCAGACGAGCATGTGCAGCAGCTACGTCAGTGGCCAACCTCTTCTGGCCTGGCAGCACCGCTGGGGCTTTCTAGGGCAGGCCGCTCTCCATCGGCTGAAATAGGGCAGCAGCTGGATTCTCTTTAACAAAACATGCCCACTAGCTGGAGCGCAGCCACCTCCCACTGCCTCTGGAGCCCAGAGCCCTGAGCAGGTGTGGACGGGGCTGGGGCCAGGCCTGGGGCAGGTGGCTGATCCATCCCGCTGCTCTCCCCCAGTCACCAAAGGCCTCAAGGAGGTGGTCTTCCATGTCCAGAGAAGACCACAGAACAGGCCAGCAGGTCAAGGGCCTGGTGAGGGGCTCTGATCACTCAAAGGGGCAGTGCATGCTGGAAAGAGGGAAGGCTCTTGGGGAGGGCTGGGGTTGGGAGGATGCAGAAAAGAGGGTAGGAAGTGGGGAAAAGGGACAGCAGGGTCATCCAAGTTTTCATTTCCTCCCAAGGATCCCAGATTCCCCAGTAGCCATTACCAGGCAGGGCTAAGAAGCTGAGGTTTGTTTTGCACAGGCTGGAGGTCTAGTCTGTGTGCCCCCAAATTTCTCTTCCTGAGACTGGAATACATATCCACCCCCCAGCCCCCATGGGCTTCATCCCCATTAATGCAGGCTTAGTGACTGCCCCACACACAGCCATGTCACCATGGCCAGCACTGGCTAATGTCCCCCATCCTGGTATCCTGTCTTCACTCCATCCCTTTTATGATTCCTGGAGAAGGACACTGTTTTCCTACTGGGACTCCAGTGATAACTTCCTGTAACCTCCTAGTCTCTGAAGCCCCTTCCTTCACTGGGAGTTGTTTGACCACCAGGTACTGACCTTTCACAACCCTTATCCCCCCAGCTCCTTGACTTGTACTGACAGCTGTCTGTGATGCTCCTGAACTCAGCCTGGGTTCTTTTTTTTCAGCTGTACCTCCTGGCATGTGGGATCTTGATTCCCCGACCAGGGATCAAAGCCCCGCCCCCTGCAGTGAAAGCCCGGAGTTTTAACCACTGGACTGCCAGGAGAGTCCCCTATCCTGGGTTCTTACTCTTTTTTTTTCTCTGTGTTGGGCCTTCCCATCAGGGATTTTCTGATGAGGTTGCTGATTCTGTGTGACCTCAGGCAAGTTGCTCTACTTTCTCTGTATCTGTTTCTTCGTTGTCATGATGGGGAAGATACTACAACCTCCTGAGAGATCAATTTATCCTTTCATGAGTTTAAAAATTTATCCTTTCCCCATGAGTACCCACTCATTCGTTCAGTCACTTCCATGTTCCAAGGGCTGGAGATGAAAAGCTGCAGACCATCTCGAGGATTCGTGGGAGACAGACAAGGGAAGAGCATGCGCAGAGGCCCAGAGGAGCGAGGGGAACAGAAATTTAGAGATTGACAAGGAGTTACGAGTGACTGGAGGACAGGTTGCGGTGGGGGGCCATTGGGCTGAAGGGCATTGGGTTGATTGGAATTTTGATAGTATTTTGTGGGCTCTGAGGTGGCAAGAGTGGGCTTTGTGCAGGAGGCAGGGATGACCAGAATGGTTGTGGAAAGACCACTTCAGCAACACTGTGGAGATGGGCAAGATCAGAGGCAGGGTCCCAACCCCACGGCGATCTGCCTGCAGGTGATGAACTATAGCTGGGGCGTGGGGCCTGAGCAGGAAGAGAGAGACATGTCATGAGGCAGAAAAGGCAGGATCTGGCCTCTGAGTGGTCATGAGCAGAGCTGGGTCCAGGCTTCTGGCGTGGAGGGGTGCTGTTCTCCGAGAAGAGGAGGGATGTGGGGCAGAAGGAGAGATGACGATGTTGTCGGGGACACCTTGGGGGTGAGGACTGTTTGATGAATCACTTGGGATGCAGAAGATGTTGAAAACCTGCTCGTTGATATTGAGCGTGCTCGAGTTCAGGGACTTTGTCTGTCTTGCCTTTCTTCCCCCTCTGTCTGATCACATCTAGATTTTTAAAAGGAGCCTGCCGCTTTCCTGGAACCTGACCTCAGCCTTCCCCTTCTGCCCTTGCTGTTAGTGGGCACCTGCATGGTGTGCCTGTGTGTAGCAGGACTGAGGTTAGCCCTCTGGTACTCAGCTGGGCCTGCGTTCCCCTCGCCTCCTCTGCGGGGTCCTGTGGGATCATGGGTGCCCACCCGTGAGCCTGTGGCCTGGCTGGGGATGCTGGTAACCTTCCTCCAGTGCTGCAGCCACGGAGACGGAGGCTGTTCTCTTCGAGTACCTTCCAATCCCTGTGCTTCAGCTCCGGGAACACAGAGGAGGCCTGTGGTTGATGAGGCCCTGCCAGCCACCCCCCAGGTCTCCCAGCTTCAGCCCTGAGAGGGTCCTTCCTGCCAGCAGTCCCGCCTCCGGAGCCCTGGGTATTCTCTCACCGGGGGTGGCTGTAGGGGTCCGACTTTGGGGCCCTGACACCAGGCAGGGTTCCAGCACTCAGGTGGAGCCGCTCCTTCAGGACTGGCTTTCTGAACCAGGCTGCACCGTCCCCGAGGCTGCTGCCACACAGCAGAAGCACAAGTCGGTGACCGCTGCCCAAGGTCCAGCTGCTTACTCTCTCCTCCGGGGCAGTGTGGGCAGGCATTCGGCTCCCGGGTAGCCTCCCTCCCACACCATCCCCCCACCCCAGGCTCCTGATCAAGAGAAGAGCAGCCGAGAGTGAGTGCCTCATGGAAGCTGTGAGCTCTGGGTGAGGAACCCCTGGTGGCCCCCAGAGGGCCCCAGTGGGCGCTGTGCACCCTGCAGTCCCAGATGGCCCTGGGGGTGCCTGGGGCTGTGCTTTTGCTCCCAGTGACACCCCAGAGAATTTCCCAGCAACCTTTCAGTGCGTCTCCAGGGGCCCCTTTGTGTCCTCATTGTGCCCTAGTATCTCTCCAGTGGAGACCCCGTAAGGCCCCCAGCACTCGTGGTGGGGAGCCCAGCAACACTCCAGTAATTGCCAGGAAGCTCGCAGATGTGCCCAGGTTGCTCCCACCCCAGACGCCTCGCAGCATCTCAGCCTGTGCCCCGGAGGCCGCGGCGTTCTCCCCAAATGTTCCGCATGTTCCCAAGAACGTGCAGACACAGGCCCCAGATCCCGCCATCCCTGCAGGGCTTCCAGTAGACTCTAGCTCCCAGAGTGCCCATGCCAGCGAGGGATGGTGCCGAGAGGAGGGTCTGCCCCCCAAGAGGGGGAGGGTTTCTCCAGTGGGAAGGGGTGGGAAGGAGAGGGGGTGGAAACTAACACTTGCTGAGTGCCAACTGTGTCTTAAGCATTTTGTCTGCTGCCATAAACCACAGGGTGGGTGGTTTCCCACGTTAGAGAAACTGTTACCTGGAGAAGTTCAGTGATTTTTCTCAGTCAGTAAGGGGCAGGGAGTGATCTGAAGGCAGATCTGTGGGCTCTGACTCCACCGCTGTCAGTCCAGAGCCTCAGAGAACCAGGGAGGAGGCAGTTCCTGACCAGAGATGTGTGGGGGGTGGGGGCAGGGTGGGGCGGTGGGCTCTAGGCCCCTTCCTTCCCTCCTTACTTTG